ATGCCTCGTTGCAGATTGTGCTAAGGATGCGGTAAATCGAGATCCTGAAAACCGTGGTGGTGCCTGTTCAGGCATTCAATTTTCTCTTTGCATCTTCCGCGACATCACGGGGGTAGTCAGCTTCGTCATTGCGATGACCCTTACCTCGGTTGTTACGGTTTACACCGCGGTCTGATTCTCTTTTGCGGTTGTTCGGACTGTTTGCCTCCTGTCCGACCGCGTGAACCTTCTGGTCACTCTTTTGTTCGTTGCCACCAGATTCCCCTTCGCGGTGGCTGGGAAAACATGAGTCTCTACTCGGATGTGCTCATTGATGCACTGCATTAGTGGCTCCATAGTCGTCAGTTGGTTCATGGTGAGCGAGTCCCTCAGTCTATGTCTAACCGGGAGACCGCGCTTGTATTGGGTGATTGCCAAGTTCGTTGGGCAATCAAGGATTTCGTTGGAGGTTTCCCAATATTTGGCGTTGTACGCTTTGAGTGAGTCGCCCAGTTCCATCTTGACACTGAGAATGTGGTCGACTTTTTTGGGCGTTTTTGTGTTGGTTTTGAATCGGATCACAAACGCTTTCACCAATTGCTGCCACCTTTCGATACTTTCCTCCGACAGCCTCTCGAACCACTTCAGGCCTAACTCACCCAAACATGACCGGAAAATAAGGCACATAAGTGCGTCGTTCCACTTGTAGCCAGCCATAACTTGCCGGAAGTGGCTCACATGCATGTATGGATCGGTTTTTCCATCATAGAGCGTAAACTTGGGCTGCTGAAAGCCTACAGGGAGCGGCGTGGTCTTTATCTCGTAGGAGAAAGGGGTGGCGCTCAACCTCACTAAGTCTCTGTCCAAAGGAACATGTACAGCTGGGCGTGGTGGCGGCATTATGACTTCTTCACTGGCGCGACCTAAGTGGGACAGCCACTGCAGTACCGACACCCTTTGCACCTCCTGCCAGCGTGCTCGTTCTTCCAAGACGTCCCTCAAGTCCTCTGAACTGGCGGAGTAAGAGTATCTCGACGTCGTCGACGGACATAAGGGACGGTAACTGCTATCCTGTGTGCACGACATCTCTACCGGCAAGTCAAAGTCACCAACCCTATAACTCTTGGTGATTGAAAGGGAAGGCATCCTTCGCTGGTTCTGGTTGCCTGAGCGATGGGTTTGGGTGCGCTCACTGTGGTTTTCCACTCCAGCAACAGCCTTCCCTTTGACTTACCACTTCAGCGCCTCCATCTCCACTGCCATCCTCCAGATGATGGCATCTTAGTTTCTCATCTTGTGCTCCAAGCGTCGAGCATGCGACTCTCTTCGTCGCCAGTGTCCGTCTGGACTCTGAGAGTGATCGATGCTCCTAGCGCGCTTATCCCGCGCATCTTTGGGGAGCCCTCTAGATGAAGTCTCCAGGCTCGCCATGTTCGGAACAATGAAGGGTCCGTCTCTTATCCGAACCAACTCTGGGTGATGCCGTCAGCGAGAGATAGCTGAGTTTCGTCGTTATTCACCATGAAAGATGATCGGGCGAGCTTGGAGGACAAGGTTTTGTCTATCAAAGATTTCCCATAGACGGCGGCAATTGTATTGGAGCCCAATATTCAATGCTATTCGTACTCCTCGTGTCCAAGCTACGCTCCCCTCTGACTGACCTGAAAACACAAAGATAGTGAGCTACCCGGCGGGTGGTTGTCGGAAAGGACCTCCGACGATCAAGTTAGTACACAGAGAAAGTGGGAGAAGAGAGAGAGAGAGAGAGAGAGAGAGAGAGAGGGGACAAAATGGTAGGTGAGCTCTAATCAGAAGATGTTCCAGATCTGTGTATAGAGGCGCAGCATTGTTGATATAGTTTCTGCGCGCGCTTCTGTGCCCATTCCCTTCTGGACGGATGGACCTGCTCTCCTCTCACGTTTCCCCACACGTCAGCGCTAACACAACTAGACACCACACAATGAAACTGCCAAACGGTATTGACGCATGCGGACAGTGGGATCTCCTTCCTGCAATCTCGTCACGCCACGTAGTACTTCCCACTGAGCTATTCTTAGTGCGGTGCCACGCCATCACCTTACGACCGAGTTACTTGTTCGGTCCCATCGGTAATTCTTGATCGCGTGCTCAATCAAGCTCCACAGTCACGACTGAGCTTTTGTCCGGTCGAACCTGATCTTTTGAGGACTAATCCCGTCCAACTTAACGGAGCGCACATCTCCACCGGGCTAGCATTCCAAAGTTATCCCAACTTGACCGGACTGAGCCCTTGGTCCAGCGCGCACCCAACGTCCGACCGAGCAAGGACCCTGACTCTGGCCCAACTTAGCTCGGTCCACTGTTAGGTCATAAATCTCCCTCTCACCCTTTTTAAAATTTTATAAATTAGAGTAAAAATTTGACTGTTGAAAATTTGATGAAGGATTTGGCTCATCCTTTATTTGGGGAAATTTTTTCCTCTCCCTTGATTTGATACAAATTTAATGAAATGATTGGAGCTCACTTTTAGGTCTTCCTTTATCAATTTTTTGGTGAAGTGTTGGAGATACTCTTACAATTCAATATTATAAATTGGACTTGTTTTTTGTTCTCTTTAATTTTTATCTTAGTCTGAAACATCCAATTACTGGTAATTTTTTGTTCTCTTAACCTTTAACATTTGCTCCTCTATGGAACTTGTCTGCAGTATGATTCTGTTCAGTTGTGCTTGAAATGCTTAACCTTATTCGTCAACAATTGGTTGCGTTCTACTGCAGAAACAATTTATTGAATGTTAATACAAAGTTAATATAACACACATACATTATGTAAACTTTTGAGCCTTTGAAAAGTGTGGAAAATGTTTTTTTGACATATACAAACACTATACAGGTCTTTTTCTAGTAACACCAAGCCAATATTCCAAACCAAACCAAACCAAGCCTTAAATCTCATCAAATAGGGTCGGCTACATGAATCCTTCTTCTCCATGCTGCTCTATCAAAGGCTATTTCGTTAGTCAAATTAAGTAGATCCATATCTCTATTTACAACACTAGCCAATGTTTATCTAGGCCTACCCGGTCCCCCAACACTTCTATCTACCGTCACTGTATTGCATCTCTTCGCTATTGCCTCTGTTGGTCTCCGCTGAATATGACCAAACCATCTCAATCGATTCTCTCTCAACTTATCTTCTATCGGTGCTACTCCTATCCATTTCCGAATACATTCATTCATAATTCTGTCTTATCTAGTCTTGCCACACATCCACCTTAGCATCCTCATCTCAGCCATACTCATCTTATCTACATATTGTTTCTTCGTTGCCCAACACTCCGTCCCATACAACATCGCTGGTCAAATAGCTGTTCTATAGAACTTACCTTTTAGTCTAGTGGGTTTCATTTATCGCACAGTACCCTATACGCTATTCTCCACTTACACCATCCCGCCTTAATCCTATAGGCCACATCCGCACCAATCTCCCCCGTTGTTGTGATAATCGACCCTAAATAACGAAAATGTTCACTCTTAGGCAGTTCTTGGTTCTCAATCTTCACTTCTCCTCTACTTTCATTGTTATTATTACTAAATTTACACTCCATGTACTCTGTCTTAGTTCTGCTTATCCGGAATCCTTTAGATTTAAGTGTTTTTCTCCAAATCTCTAACTTTATGTTAACTGCTTCTCTAGTCTCATCCACTAGTACGATATTGTCTGCAAAAAGTATACACCATGGCACGTCATCCTAAATATTTCTCGTCAACTCATCCATAACTAAAGCAAAAAGATAAAGACTTAAGGTAGATCCTTGGTGTAACCCTACAGTGATAGGAAACTCATTTGTCTCTCTAACAAGCGATCTAATAGTGGTCACCACCTCTTCATACATGTTTCTAATCACATCAATGTAACCTTTTGTCACTTCTTTCTTCTCTAACACCCACCATATTATATCCCGAGACACTCTGTTATATGCTTTCTCAAGGTTGATAAACACCATATGAATGTTTCTTTTCTTTTCTCTATACTTTTCTATTAGTCCCCTCAAGAGATAGATCGCTTCCATTGTTGATCTGCCAGGCATAAACCCAAATTGATTTTTTGACACCTCTATTATATCTCGCAATCGACGTTCCATCACCCTCTCCCACACTTTTATTATATGACACATTAGCTTGATTCCTCTGTAGTTGTTGCAATTCTGGACATCTCATTTATTCTTATAGATTGGCACTAAAATACTCTTCCGCCACTCATCTTGCATGTTCTTAGTTAACAAAATTTTGCTAAACAACCTAGTCAATCAAGCAACCCATTTTTTATCCAAACACTTCCAAGCTTCAATAGGAATATCATCGGGTCCTAAAGCCTTATTTGATTTCATCGTCTTAACTGCAATCTCCACTTCAAAGTTCCTAATCCTACGATAGAACCTATAGTCTTGGTTTATCGTATTACTGGCTATTTCTTCCCCTATTGATGTACCTCCATGTTCCTCATTTAATAGTTTCTCAAAATAGTTCTTCCATCTTTTCTTAATCTCTTCATCCTTCACCAATCCCTTAGAATCCTCACTCTTGATGCACTTAACTTGATTAAAATCTCTTATTTTCCTCTCTCATATCTTAACAAGTTTGTATACTCTCTTCTCTCCCTCCTTACTATCTAATCTAGTGTATAGGTCATCGTAAGCTTTCAACTTAACCTCTCTCACTACTTTCTTGACCTCCTTATTAGCCAATCTATAGCTCTTAAGTTTTTCATCAGTTCTATCCTTCTGCCACTTTTAAAACACTCTTTTTTTTGCCTTAACTACCGTTTTAACCTCTTCCAGCCACCACGAAGTTTCCCTAGAGATGGGTCACGTTCCTTTCGACTTTCCAAGCACTTCCCTTCAGATTCTCCTCATACAATTGGCCATCGAGTTTCACATAATATTAGCATCATCTTCCAAATCCCAAGTACCTTTTTTATCCATTCTATTATTAAATATTTCTAGTTCATTGACATTTATGTTTCTTCTTTTTTTTTAAAAGAGTTAGCATGTGAAAGGGAATGCAGCAGGGGTGAGGATTACTGCTTGATCAAGCTCACAATCACGGACTATACTGTAAGATTGGTTTCCGCTCCCCCCCCCCCCCCCCCCCCACCACACACACAAAACCCCCCCCCCAATATTTTTAATCCAACAACAATAAATTCCCAATTTACAACCTCACACAACCCATCTTAAACCCCCAATCATGATTTTCCTTTTTCACCATCAGCTTTTACTTTCTTTTTTTCCTTCTCCTCTCATTTTTGCCATCTCTAACATTGCATATGATGAGCCCTGATATACTACAGAGTAAAGCAGAACGATTTGTGGTGGTGGAGTGTAGAGGGCATGATGCTGCTCGGTTTCGTAACATTGATCATGCTCATGGGTAAGCTAATTTGTGATCTACTAGTCTATCTCTATAGGCGTGGTGTGTTGTTGAGGAATACCGTGTTGTTGGAGATTCTTAGTGTCCTTTGAGAATAATCAAAAGTGTTTAATTGGAACATAAAAACATGACTAAATTGGTCCCGGTTACTCTTCTAGCTCCAATTGTTTTAATATTAATTCCATGTATTTTTTAGTATCCTATTTGTATTATCCTTCAGGGTCAGTTGTAGAATTATTGAATTTTAAGCATGTATGATGAGTTATAATTTTTTTTAATGACACAGAAATTATAAGGCTCACTGTTAAAACCTATCACCTACTTCACCCACTTAAACCTACTCCACTAAACCTAACCCACTACACCACTACCACCTCCACTTCACCTACTCCTTACCTACTTCACTAAACCTAACCCACTACACCACTACCACCTCCACTTCACCTACTCCTTACCTACTACACACTCACCCTCTTCTATATATAGGAATCATGAATCATTGTAATATATATAACATTAAAAATCAATCAATAATACAATTCTCTATTTCTCTTTATACATCAATTTTAACACTCACAAATGAGAAAACTATGCAAGAGATATATTTAACATATGCATGTAAAAGTTCTAGTTTTGTATGGATGCTTTTGGCTCAATCATGAGCATACTTCTACTTTTGTCTTCAACTCTAAGACTCAAATTTGCTTCATTTTCTGAATTCTGTTACATACTTTCTGTTTACAGATGGGAGAAAGATGTTGTGGGTATGGTTGAACAGGAGCATGGGAAAAGTAAGATTTTAATTTCTTTTGACTGTGAGACTCTGAAAGCAGATAAAGCAGCCGAAGACCATATTAGGCAGTTCATGCCCAAATTAGCTGGGATGGATGCTGTTGGTAAGTAGTCTATCTGTTTTGTCACCCCTTCTCTTTTTCATTTAGACTTATACAAGTTGCATTTATTTGGTTAACCATACACAACAATCTGAGCTGCACTTGATGGACTTCCCTTCAGTTGGCATTAGGTGTTGGAATCTTTGCCTAGGTTAATTTATGCATGGGGTTGATTAAATGATGAATTTCTAGATGCCAATTTGGAGATTGTAGTTAACAGTGGTTTTCAATACCCTTTTCTAGCAGGTCCTTTATTTTTTTAGAAAATGGGGGTTGCTATTGTTCCTACCTTTTGTTTTGTTTTTCCTTGTTTTCTTTTTCAGTTCCAGATTGGTTATTTACAAGGTAAGGGAATTGAGGAGAATGTTGCCTATTGATTACAACAAGATGGATAGTGTCTGAAAATAATCGCGTGACCATAGAACTCTTAACTATGATGAGGGAAAAGTTCTGGGGAAAGTATCAAAATAGTCTTACTTTTATATTGAGTCGTATTAACAATAGGGTTGATTCATGTGTTAATAGGACTTGATGGAAATTTCATTGGAAAAGTAGGATTTATTGGGTATTTCCACAGTTCTATCGACAATTATTAGTTGTGTTGTCTAGTACAAAATGTTAGTCAATTAATAAACGTTTTAAAAATTAATTTCAACTGAAATGAGAATGTTCAAGATAGATACGAATGTTAACAAGAAAAGATAAATTGAAGATCTAAAAATAAAAAGTAAAAAAAGGGGGTGACCAGTGGACAAGATTCCTGCTAAAGCTTGGTCTGAGGAGAGCAAGATGTATATTGGAGGAGAAAATCTAAAAAACAGGAAAAAATTATTTAGTCCATGAGAAATCATAAATGTTTTAACCAAGGATATGGTTTTACATAGATCCAAGTGGGCAACTGAAGGTAATTGGGATTATGAACCTCGAATTATGCTTTTACGTTTTTGTTTTACTGTTAACTCGAGTGGTATCTCCTCCCATTCCCAAAGAGGAGGTGCTGCTCATGTGGGGTTTGTAATCTGTTACAACATAACCATCCCATGATTCTGAATCAATAGACCTTCAGCACCAAAGCATTGTAGTCCTCCTTTGGTGTTTGGTATACAGCTATGCTGTCTAATCCGAAACAAGAAGTTTGAATGTGCAGTTAATGTAGGCCGGATGAGCATTGAAGGCTTGGACTTTGAAGCAGAAGCAGAGCAGAAAAATGAACATATTCACCAGAATATTTAAATTACGTTCTGGAATTCCTGCCCTCATCTTTGTCGTGCTGAACAGGGTTGTGATGCCTCTAATCTTGAAATCCATTTTGCTCTGCGTTCCTTTGTGATTCTGTTGTGCTTTCTATTGTTCCCTTGGCAGTAATCAATCCTAATGTATTAACCTTCTGGATGGTTTTATCTACTTACATTATCAATATCCAAAGGTTTGTCAAATTGTCATGAGGAAAGAAATAAACATGTTCGCCCAATTGTTTCGCATTATTTACAAATGCTTTGAATGATTGTTCCTAACAGAATTTGAGCTTGGCAAATAGTTATTGGATCATTGTTACAGTAAAAACTTAGAAAGCTCAACACCATATTTTTCTTTCCCTCCCTCCCTCACTGCACCTCAAAAGCATCAACCATGAGATGTCCAAAACTTGCAGATCCCTTAAGTGGGGTGAAATTTGTAAAGAAATTCAAGTAAATAGGCAAATAGACTGATCTGTCATAAACAATTAAGTCATTGTAAATTATTTCAGACCCCAGTCTGATATTCAAATTCAAATACACATATTAGGCAATACAATTTACACAGTACATAGTTCAAAGTACAACTTTTTCGAATTGAGGATGATGACGATAACAAAATGGTTAGGCATAGCTTCTTAAAGATTGAGAAGCAGCACATTTGTACAAGTCTTTGGTGCTTTAAGCAACAACAACAAAGATCCAGCATCAGATAACAAATCCATAATTGCAGTGATCCAAAACCTGTTCAATAAAAATAATAATTTTGTTAGACAATTTTGAGTAAAAAACAGTTGACGAATATACAAATCAATGGGCAACACCACATAAAATCAGGAGTGAATCTTGGCCATTTCTCGCAGACTTCGGATCCTCCAATTAAGATCATCATATTACTAATTGATCTGTTTTAGCTAGGAAGATGGCTGTCATCACATAAGCGAAAATCAACAAACTTACAAGTGGCAAGGCAAAGTCAAGAAAATCAAAACTTGGAAAAATATCTTAAAAATTGAGGTAATATTGTTCACTACGGGTGCTGAATTTTATACGCAAAACGAGTCAAGCAGCAAGTAGCTCAAACTCAACTCACAAAAGGCTTGTCGTGGCTTGTTTTGTGGTTCAAGCCTAGCACAACCCGAATATCTGACTTCCCTCACAGTTGACCTGATATTCAGCAAGAGGAGGTTCGGCTCAGCAAAGCTTGACTAGGTAAATTTGAAATTATATACAGCAATAAAAGAACAACAATACATCTACAGTGATCTCTACATAAAAAACACTAGTCAAAAAGACTGCAAGGTTTTACATCCCAAATCTGGTGTTAATCCAGTCTTTAAGCCAATGATATTTTGATAAATCACATGTGAAATAGTTAGTTGATTGTAATCAGGCACTTTCAAGATAAACCCCTAATTGCAATGTTACATTCTCAACCAGAGCTCAAACATGGTCAATACTCAACTCAGTTCAGCTTATTTACCACCCCCCGAGTGTGTACTATTTTTTGGTGCTGTGTTAAAAAGGTGACCGAGCAAAAGAATCTTCGTTTGTATCTCATAAAAATCCTAATGTCTACACTAAATGGCAAGGTATTTTAAGAGTTAACAGATTGTAGCTGAGTGTCTTGCGGAACATTATGAGATTGTGAGATACATTATGACCTGAATAGGTTGCCAGAAGATTATGTTCCCTGTTCTAAAGAAGGATGGGGTCAATAAATGTCATGTTTTGGAAAATGTAAAAAAGGTTGGGGCCAACTAGTCTTTCAACTTTCATCACCATGATGACCATTGAATGCAACATACTAGACAGTAATTATTCCCTAACCCCAAATGATTGAACAAACAGTAAAAATCATCTTTTTTAAAACACTTTACATTAGAGGTGATTGTGTTAGCCTATTAGATGTCTTTGTCCTCAGATTCCATTAGATCTTCATGGGATGTTCCTCTTTTGCATTCTTCACTTCAATCTCATATGCTTTTCTTTGCTTCACTTTTCTTTTCTTTTCTTTTTAGCTTTTTTTATGGAGCTGAATGTCCTTTTCCATCTCTACTATATTTCTTCATGGGCTGCAAAATGGTCAACAACTCTTAATGTGGGATTCTCTAATGTGTTGAATCTT